GCAAATAGCAGCGGAACATCCCATAAAGTAACCACTCTCGATGTTAATCTCGAGCCATATATTTTATATTTTTGTGCACCTGTTAACTATAAAATTTAAATTCTTGAAAAACAGCAGTGTACATAATGTGACTTTACATAACCTGCAAAATAATAAATTCGTTTCAAAATCATCGATTTAAGCTTGCGGTCGTTATTTTACTTTCAGTTTTTTTTTTTTGGGGGGGGGGGGTCTGAAGTTGATGCCAAGGTCAAAACAACTTCAACCGAATTTCTGAAGTGTTAGCACTTACATGAACTACCTGTCGAAAACAGTATGTCGATAACCTACAAGACACGACCTTGTTCTATCAAAATGTCGGGCTCGATTCGACTTCTTTGAGGCTGCGAAAACTTTATGGGGTCGGGAAAAGCCGTCTCAAGGGTAGGCAGTGGTGGTATTGCATGTTAATCTACCGTGGCCTAAACATTCATCTGTTAGTCGAGTACGCCTAAAGCACCTGTACTACTATCGCCGCTACCAGCGGGTTAGTAGTACTCATAGCCGCTGTCCTCGTTAGCATTCGATTTGACCTCCAATCTTGCGCTCGCCAGATCTTCAACCATGTCGTAGGAGGGCTTGTGTTTTAGTCGTCGAAGTTCTTCGTTTTGAAAAATGTGAAGACCAAATTCTGGACGATCGGGTCCCTGGCGCGGTTACAAGCCTGCGAGTGTACGAAGTTGTTGGGCGGAGACGTTTCGCTCTGCGGTCGCACCGGAACAGGCTGCAGAGAACACGACAAGCGCAAGCTCGCGTAAGAGGGGACCGAAACATTACGCGCCAATACTCGAGAATCGCCCGCTTCTTGCCCTTCATGAGCTTCGCCTCCCTCGACGTGTCCCGACTCATGCCAAGATACTTCACCAACTTTACAGCCGTAGAGCCCTACTGTCTCAGGCGACGACAAAGCCGTTCACTTGCGCCAGCGTGTTCTTGTCCATGCCACGCTCAGGATAGCGAGGGTCCAAAAGATACGTGACGCCGTGCGCGTCTCCGTAGATGAAGTTGAAGCGTCCCTCCAAGATCTGCGCAGTGTCCTCATTTTCAAAATCAGGGATGCTGCCAGCGTAGATATAAACTTCGCCGCTCTCAACTGGTCCACATACATAACAAAAAGGCCCATTGCATTTTTTACTGAACTACAGACTCATCAACCACAGTGGTCGCTCCAGGTGCGAGCTGCGGCGCGTGTACCAACCATTCAGCTCGATAAAGCAATGCCCGACTTTTAAATCACTGCTGGTCGTAGGCGTAATTAACCCCTCATTCCCACTGTTTGTGACCATGTTCGCTCGTCAGATACTCCGACGTAGTGACATATATAAGTTTGTATGTAGGAGGAAAAAGTCAGGCTGGGATCAAATCCTAATGCTATCATTGGGCATATTCTCCGACATGTACCTTCGACATGTCCACTTGATTTTAATAGCAGAGGTCAACAAATTAGTGCACATGTCGGAGGAGAGGACAAGCTGGAGACGTCGTTTTGGTTTTTTGCTCAAGGGGAAAGGGAGAAAAATGCCAGATCATACCCACCTCCCCCCACCCACACACACACACATCAGATTTATACCAAGCCATCCAGCATATCGTTCGGTTGAGTCGTCAGCAGATCAGCATGTGGAGTAGTATGAAATTCCGAATGTGACAAACCACGTATTCCTCGCCTCTTGTGGTATTCGCGATGAGCAATGTAGGCGTCGCTAGGAAAAATATTATTCCATATCAATAGTACTGCTATTTTTTGTACGGAATTATTAACTATTGTAATATATGAAGAATACATATTATTGATATCGACACCAATATATCGGTAATATAATATTTGTCGGTTCGGTCCAAGCGGACCGGTCAAAACGACAACTTGAGTGGCTCTGGAGAGGCAACGTCAAGCTTTCTCCACCGTACAACCAACCTGTGCTTCGCGCACTCACTCTCTCATTTCCTATTCGCCCTGCTGGAGCCCCCACCGTTCTCCACGCTATGACTTCGACCACGAACCGCGACCTCTGTCGCTTCTTCTACGCGGCGACAACTGACCACTACTACGCCTGCAACTACTGCGGCACGCGCCGCCAGCAGCTTCCCTCAAGTGGCTACGCCAACTTGCTCAGCCATCTCAAGGACAAGTACCCCAACTACGTCGAGGACTACGCAGCCCATCAGCTCAGCCAGGCTGGATCTCTCTCCGCCTTTGGCTTTGTCAACCCGAGGGCAGCCAACATGTACCGCTGGATGGCGTGGGTCGTCGACCGCAACATGCCCCTCAGTGAGGTCGACGACCCAATCACCTGGGCGATGTCTGCCCTAGATCCCACCTGCTCCAAGACCCTGAAGCTCTACCTGGCTTCTACGAAGGCGCTTGTCGAGGGCGTGATCGGTGTCGACATGCAAGGGGTGTGCGGCGCCATGTACGACGGTTGGACGTGCAACTTAGAGCACTATGTTGCTGTATTTGGCGTGTTCTGCAAGAACGGGAAACTTGAGCAACCGCTCCTTGCTATTGCACAAATGGGAGAGGGCGATCTGACGGTCCCAGCGCATTGCGCATTCATCACGCGCGTGTTCGAGAAATACAACCAATCACTGGAGAGCTTGGCGTTTTTGCTTGGCGACAATTGCGCCAGCCACCAACCGAGCAACTGCGACACGCCTCGAGGTCCCGCTGATTGGCTGTGCATCTCACCGCTTTAAATTGGCGGTGAACAAGTACCTGGAGGACTGCACGGACGATGTGCGCGCGGTGAGCGCGCTGATGCAAGCGTTGCGCACCATCAACAATCGCGCTGCGTTGAAGGACCAGACGAAGCTGTCGCCGCTGCGCCTGAACGTGACCCGTTGGGGCTCAACCTTCAAGATGTTGGCGCGCTACGTTCGTATCCGGGACGATATCAAGCAAGTAGAGGTTGTCTTCGATCTCATCCCCAAGGCGGCAATGCACATACGTATCAAGAGCCTTCTCGAGGACCTACGGATTTTTGACAGGTCACCGTTGCACTCCAGTCCGACGACCTGTCACTTGCAGATGTGCGTGTGCTGTCCGACTCTATTGTTGAGCGCTTCCCGCTGCTTAAGTCAAAGCTCGGCCCCACGGCAAGCATCGTGCACTCTCCCAGCTTCGAGACGGCTGCTGTGAAGGTATGTTATTATTTTCAGTATTAATCATGTGCCTTTGGACACTACTAACGAACATGTTATTTGCCTGTAATATCCAGGTTATTAGTGGGGAAGGCCAAAGCGCAAAACAAAGGCGACACAGGGTGGTGTAGCTGACGCCTATGTGCCGATCACTCAAAACACCAAGCGACGCACAGGGCGCGCGCCCAAACCAGCTGAGGAACGCACAGTCGGGTCCACCCACCCTCTGTCGATGTCAAACCTAGAGCTGCTTGAACGTGCTGAGGCGCTTATCGGCTCGGAGACTGATGAATCTAACGAAAGCGACTCCGAGGAAGTAGAAGGAAGTGATGGTGATAAAATGGACTGTCAATGAACGATATGCAACGCGCCAAGCGCAGAGAGAATATAATAGCTACGGCTGCTGATGTCAATGTGCTCCGCGATGAGGATGTCAGGTTATATACCAGACTTGAGTCCGACGGTCCCTATGAAGACTATGACAGTGGAGATTCCAAGGACTGGCCTGCGTTGTCCGTTTTAGATATGCAATCCCAATTTGAGGTTTTCGACTGTATGGACGACAGCACTATTTATGACGACGACGCGCTGCTGAAGCTGGCAAAAAATCGAGATGAGATCAAGGCATGGGAGACTTCTTGTAGGGAAAAAGTACAAAATAATACGCTGGCTGGAATGCTAGTATAATTGTACGGCATGATATTGATACTAATGACTTACCATTTGTGTAGTTCCGGGAACGACCGATAGAAGACCTGAGTACCATGGACTGTATAACGGCGCGTGGGGTCCGTCCGATGAGGCTCTCAAGATCGCTGACCCTCCGTTCGATTTGTTTTGGTTCTTTTTTCCATAGCAAATTGTGCGTAAAATTGCAGAGGAGAGCAATCGGTACGCAGCCCGGACACTCATCGCGCGAGCTCGAAGAATACGAGATCGCCAATTACGATGCAAAAACCGAGGATCAAGGTCATCGGACGTTGAGTCATTGGCCCAGATACGAGAGCGACTAAGCCGTATGGAGTCGTTCGCACCACATGAGTATGCGCTTGTGTTTGGGCTCTTGATCGCATGTATGCTCTGTCCCCATAAACGACGCTTATCTAGCCATTGGAGCACAACAAGAGCTGGGGTAGTCCCTTAACCCCTCTAACCCGTATTCTGTATCCTACAGAATACGCATTGTCACAGGACATAATATCCAGCAAACTTGTCCTCTCTTTCGAACTTCGCATATGGATGTTTGTATAGCCGGTATTGTGCACATCTTCCTGTTAGATTAGCGATGGGAAGATAAACGGGGTTTATTCCGCGGTAATAGACGACCACCAACAGGTTTGAAAATTCGGGTGGAAGCCTAAAACCGCCGCGTGTCAGCCACTCGTACTTTCCTTCATTCCGAAACTGCGCTGTTCAACACGTCGCAATGCAAGCTTTGTTGGGGCCCGTCGAGCGCGCCCAAGTGGCCAAGGACCATGGCCGAAGACGATCATGATGAGCGCCATTGTGATCTACAGGTAAGCGAGAGCGTGTACTGTGCTCTGTAACATTGTACTAGTGGTATATTGATTCTACGTTGCGATGTTGATTACCAGACCTGGTGATCCGACCCAGACGACGCTATGAGCTCTCCCGTGTGGCCCGATTGGCAAATCGATTGCGGAGTCAGCGCACAACCTCATCGGTTCCTACGAGGTTTTGAGCGTGCTCTACGCTCGCCACGACCAATAGAAGCTCGCCATTTCGGCATATGGTGGATACATTGAGCATGTTTTGTTCACTTTCGTAGCTGTTCTGTGCACAATGTACCCAGCGCTTGACCGCAAGATGCGAAAGGGCTTCCAACAGCAAATCTTTGACAGGTTTTGAAGGATACTTTAATCAAGTCTAATGCTTATTCTGTAGGATACAGAATAAGATCTGGGGCTAGAAGGGTTAAGGAACGTTTGGCGCATGGATGCCATGGAACAGGTATACAGTCAAACCTTCGGTTTCGTTGCCAACTGCTACTAAGTAGTGTGCGATGTAGGTTCGACGAGATAATGCAACACCTGCACTTCTCGGATAACACCGATTCACTGGGACAGAACCCGGAAAACACACAGAAAAATGGCTTGGCACACAACATATGTGAAAACACATAAATCTTGCGTGGTGCACATCAAGTACATGCTGCACCACACTAAAAACGCGCGGCACACCGCGCGTAGAACCAACACACCAAACTCGGGCTACTACACACCACTGAATATCAGCGAATAGTATCTACGAGAACAGTCGAATTTCAACCAGTATATGTGCTGTATCTACCTCATATCTTCTGGTTGCCTCTGTGTATCTTCCTGCATACTCGAAAACACAGTATTCCCCACAACCCGCCACACCAGCCCCCGCAGCCCGCAGCTCGCAGCCCGACTCACAATGCCCCCCAAGTACCAGTGGACAACCATCTGCAGCGACATGGCACGCGAAGACTCCCAGCTGCTCGTAGAGGACATGAAGGTCTTCATCATCATGAAGAGTCAACTGGTACCCTGCGTCGTATGCGCCCTAAACAGGCCCCACAAGATGCGATACCAGGCTCCTCGTAAGTGATTCCGCATTTGCGGAGAGCGATGTAAGGTCTTGCAATACATTGAGTATTTTGCAATGATTATCTATTGTTCTTGCTGCTATTGCGTTATTTATTATTGTGATCTTGGCCCAGGAAATACAATATAGTATGGTATTTTCCGAGCCCTGTTCACAAGCGCTAGATCGAGAAGCCCGAGGAACAGACTACAAATACACATACGATACAAGATGGACCCACCACTGTAATAAATGCATCCAAGCACTTACTTTTTGTAGCACTTCTTGAACTTAAATGCCTCTTGGACCGAAAACCGCTGTTGACGCAGTTGATCGTGGACATCGACATCATTCATATTGTCATCACCAATTTCGGGCACGGAATGTCCACCCAGATATTTCGAACTATCGTTGAAAACAATATTAGTTTATCCGGTTGATAGAGAATATTGTCACAACACGAACCTGTAGTTAGTTGCTGCACTCTGGCACCTGTTGCGAGGAAGTGGACCGGCTTCGAGTCCCACCAGCAACATGCTATCATCGCGGGAACAGCCTTTCATCGGGCAAGCGCGTACGAGCCCCGAACAATATCGTCAGGCCTTTTCTTACGCTTTTCTTTCAGTTCTGCTGGAAACCCGATACATCGAGTCTGAATTGTGCCCACTGCGTAAGTGTTGTTTGACAAAAGCTCAAGTCCCAGCGCGGCAGACGTGTAGAACCTGTCTATTACAACAATTCTGTGGTCTTGTTGTTCGGTTGGAAGTACCTTGTCAAGATTCCGTAGAACGGCAGCAGGTTCTGACTTGTCGTCAATAGTTTGTTTACCTCCAAGATGTGCCTGTTTGTCAAAGTAGACTTCCAACCTATGATTAGTAGAAAGATTTACCCATACTGTTAGCTGAAAATGCGATTTTCTCCAGCATGACGCAAATCCTACCTCATGCAATATGACGTTCTAGACACCATGTCATGAATAGTTTCTCCCCAGTTGTGAGGCGTATCCATCATATACATCCGTGTCCTGTTGAACTTCGAGTGAGGTGGAAGCATTCCCTCATCGAACGACAAACTTGACCTAGGTATGTACCCATTCTTGAAGGTTTGCTCCAACGTGTCGAGGACGGGGCGAATCTTCCATGCTCTATCATTTCTGCCAGTGGATGACAAAATAGGACATACACAATGCGACAAACAGGTGGTACCCAAAATGTGCGGGTGCCAGACAGATAAGAACGAGGACGTGGTCGAGGCAGGGGGAAGCAAGGACGAGGGCCACCCATCCCGCGGCCCGGCCACGCGTCCCCACCAAGGCTCCAAATTGCCCCACTTTCCAATCGGCGAAGCACTGCACAAACGGCGCGGCGTGCCTCGGCCGCGCACTCTGGCCGGCACGGAGGCATGCCCAAGCCGACACGGCGGCTCCCAAGGCGGGCACTCCGGCGCGGCGTGCCTCAGCCGCGCAGTCGGCGGCTCCTGGCTGAAGAAGCTTTACTCAACGTACGTGGCATCAGTCTACAGCTTGTGTAGAACGTGTTGAAGGGCAACCCCCCTGTACCGTTCTAGCTGATGACTGCAGGCTGGTGGCATGTATGTGTAGTACTACTTGCACACGGCCAGCGCCTGCAAGACTTCGTTCCGTGCAATTAGCGTAGGAAGTAAAATGTATTAAGTGTTGAGTAGAAACTAAGATAGTGATTATTTCCTACGTGTGTTCCATGATTTAGTCTTCCTCTGCCTCTGCTTCGATGAAAGCACGCTCAACCTTACGGCGCTTGCGCTGTCAGTACTTCTTTATCTCTGCGGAGGGTAGTTTGCCGGCAGACTCCCATGTAGGCTCCCAACTCGTTAGGAATTCAACTCTTCCATTGTTGCGCCGGTCGTCGAGAATAGTCTGCATCTGGTATGTCGGTCGCCTTTGCAGGTCGACGCCAGTGGGTAGGACTCACTCCGCCTCCCCTGTGTCGTCACCCTGCTGTGCAGCTTCGACGGGTAGGGCTTTAGTGATGCGGTACTTGGGCACCGCGTCCAACAGGCGCTTGATTGCGTCTCCGGTACTCGAGGCGTCGTTTCGGATTACGCCCCACGACCTCAAGTACCGGGCGGCTGCCTCGTCCAGCCTGCCCCACCCCGTGCCTTAAGGTAAGCCGTGCACCAATTGAAAAAAGCCTTGAACGCGTTGGGGGGCTCTTGGGCGGAGTCGGCGGCCTGCATCTTGGTTGTACTTGGGGAGGAGGAAGGAGACAATTGGAAAATGAGTAGCACGTAAGAAGTGGAGGAGGCATACGCGTAGGTTACAGGTTTTGCAATAGTTTCGCTATAACGGATGGGAAGTGCAACATGACTTTATTTTAGTTAAGCCACATAACAGCTAACATTAGTCAGTGCTCAGTGCATGCCCGTTGGTACGGGGTCGTCCAGCAGGAACGCGGGAACCGCTGGCACGCGACTTGCGTCGCTTCCTAGGCACAGAACGGTTGACCAGTATCCGCTTTCCGTCCAGCCCCGTGTAATACTTGACCTGCAGGGCGAAGGCATGGATGCAGATGGCGAACTTGAAGTTGTACTTGCATCCGCAGGTTAGTCGCTCAACGTCCACATGCCAGCCACCATCGGGTTGTCCTTCTTGTTCCATTCGCGTATAGTTGGCTCCCATTTGGGGCCACCTCGCGGCTTCGACCCAATTCGGGGTAGATACACCCGATGACACCCTCGCGACAGTACACGAACAGCATTGGGTGTCGGGGATGCGAGTAGGAGCTCGATGCTTGAGCGCCATGTCGCGAAGAAGGTCGCGCTGCCGGAACTCTTTAACGCGGGCCTTCAGCTGCTGTGTAGCTTGAGGGACTTCTTTGAAGGCGCGAGGGGTCACCGACTGGTGTCCACATCAGTCCGCGAGCAGTCGGATCAACGTTCTAATCTTGTGCTTGGTACGCAGCGTGTAGTCACGCTTAATCAGGCGGTTAAATTGTTCCACGGGATTGTTCGTCGTGGCATAACCACCTGGAGTGTGGAAACACTACCAGTGGTTGAACTCACTCTTCACCCAGACGTTGTTGAAGTAGGTGCCAAACACCTTCAGATCTTGGTCGGCCGACCACCTCGCGAGCACCGTTTTGGCTTGTTCGTCATACACTTGGTGGTCGGGAGCGAAGTGCAAGTCGTATATATCGACCACCACTTGTTCGCACAAACGGTCCGGTACGGCTTTAATGCGTTCGTGGACCTTGACCATGACGTGGTAAAAGCACATCAGGTAGGTGAGGTCGGAGTCGACACCAAAACCTTGGCTGACCGCGTTTAGCTGCACAGCCTCCGCGTCGGCCATGACATACTTGAGCAGCAGCTGTTGTTCCGTCACCGCGGTAAACATCTTTCGGGGGGGGGGGGGGGGGGGGCGGTTAGCGCTTGAACGTAGATCCCCTCCAGCCGCTGGGAGACAATAAACACTGCCACCAGATGGAACGAGCGACCGCGATCCGATACACCACAAATTATGACAGGGTACGCCACTTGGTTCAACTTGAAGGTGCCGTCCATGTGGAACACGAACGAGTTGGGGTCTCGAGCCGCGTTGCGCAACAAGATCTTCGTTGTGAGACCCACCAAAAACGGGTGCTCGTCGGATCCGTTCCCCACATATGACTTGCCCTTGCCGTCCCGGTCCCAACCAAACGAGAACGGCTGGGTATCGGTTGTCGCTGGTCCAAATGCCAGTTGGTCGATCTGGTCCCGAGTGTCCTCATAGTCGTCGTTTCCGTGGAGATTTTTCTTGGTGAAGCTGCTGACGAACCACTGGACTTGACGCAGGGTAGGCATCTCCGTCTCAGTGAGCCCAAATCGCCCAGCCATGCCCATGCGGATTCGGGCCGGCTTCAGTCCTTGGGTCGCCATTTCGCGCCCGTAGTCCTTCAGCCGGGGGGGGGAGTTGGGGTTTGCGAGGGTCCCGAGCCATTGTCTCGTGACTACCAGTCTCCATGATCGTCACGCGATTCAGCTCTTGGCAGGTCAGAACCTTGGCTAACCACGGGCAGTCGGCGTATGGAGTTACAACCACGCATGTTTCCGAGGAGCACTTCAGCAACTTGACGTCCCAGCAGCGCCTATTCGCACGTAAAACATCAAGATTTCAAAGTTCTCAGGCAACAACGACGCCCGCTGTGGCGTGATCACCAACTTGGCTTGAGAAAAGAGGCGCTCGCAGCGGTTGCTCGTAGGGGGCATCCTCTTCAGCAGTTCCGAGTGCAGCGATAGGCCCACCATGCGCTGCGCTCATCTTCTTAGCCTTCAGGACGGCGGCCGCGAAGTTCTTCTTCTTCTGCGCGTCGTCGTCTTCGTCCCTCTCCTTGCGCTTACCTCCCACGGCCGCTGGCGCTGTTGCGACCTCGAAAGACGGATGGCCTTGCGCTCATTGGCTGTGACTCGGATCCCGAGTCAGGTTGGATTTGGATCGCACGCACATGTTTGGCTGGAGCGGCCGGCGCAGGCGTCGCTGGTGCTTTTTGTCGGTACTTGCTGGATCCATACGCGGACTTCTTCTGTCGGTTCTTCGCCCGATCCAAGGCACGCAGGACTTCTTCCAACTCGTCAGCATCCGGCAGTCGGAGCAATGTCAGCCGATCCGCCAGATCCTGATCGCCCAGAGTCACAATGAAATGGTCCACATGCTCCCGCTTTTCCTTGGATCCACCGTCTTTGATCTTGAGTCGAGCACGGAGTCCGGCGACGTTAAGTCGGTAGAGATAATCCAGCGGAGACTCGTCCGATCGCTTGCGAGCATGATAGTACTGGCGGGCGACGGAGATCCCCAATCAACAGTATTGCGTCTGGAAGCTGCGAAGGAGATCCGGCCACTTATTGCGTGTGGATCGAGGTAGCTGGCGGTACCAGTTCCGCGCCGATCCAGACAGCAGATCCGCGAAGGTCAGGCACTTCTCTTCGTCAGGTGCTTGATCGCGGAGGAACGCAGACTTCACCTTGCTAACCCAAGCTCTCGCTCGATCCTCGTCTTGGTCCTTGCCAGAGAACTCCTTCAGATCCGAGACCGCTGAGATCCGGACTCGTTGGATCAGGGCTGAACCTGTGGATCCGGTCGCGGTGGTGGCTACTGTAGCGCGTGCTGGGGCCGGGAAGTCAATGTCGTCAGGGTCGAACTCCCAGTGTGGATCCGGATCCGACGATCCAGTGAACTCCATCTCGACATCTTGGGATCCGTGATTCTGAACCGCCCCCGGTGTCATGGCTGGGGTCAAAGCTCCCTGCTCCTTCAAGAACCTGTTCATAGCTGCTTGGAAGAACGACTCCAGTCTACTAGTCGACATGTCGGATCCTGATGCCGTCGCTGTTGGATCCACCGATGGAGCTGACTGCTTCTTGGATCGAGGCTGGGATCGGGGCTGAGGACTTGCTTCGCGTTGGATCTGGGCTCGGGCGCGTAGCATCGAGGCTCCCGATGGTTCAAGTGACATGCGTCGCGACTCCGAAGACGTGTCCGACCCAAGCTCTGCAGCCGACACATAAGTTGACGACGTCCGACATCCTGTGGATCCTTCTTGTAGTGATCTTGGATCCGGGATTGTGGGATCCGGCTTCGGCTGGATCTCGCCTACCAGCACCTTCAGCCGGTTGAACATCATCTCCGTCGTGGCACGGAGTTGGATTGGATCGATCTCGTACATCACTGACGCGTCGAACGCTCCAGCCACGAGACCAACATCCCTCAGCGGCTGCATCAGGCGTTCCATCTCGGGCAAAATTCCTGGACGATTAACGGCTGCCGGAAGTGTCAGGGGTCCCTGCAGGGCTCCGATCTGCTTCACACCGAACTTCTGCATAATTGGATCCACTGTCAGAAAGCTGCGTAGTTTCTTCTCGTGATGACGGATCCATGATGCCTCGGATCCATCCTGGGCCGAGGTTTCTGGATCTTCGTCCTCCAGCTCCGGGGCCTTCATTTTCCTTCTCGTAGCGGTTTTCTTCGTCTGGGTCTTGTCTGGATGGAAGATGTAGGGCTCTTGTTTCACTGGAGAGTCAGCAAATGCATACCGATCCTGGCCAGCCTTGGTTTGTTTTGTTAGTGGATCTTGACTTTTGTCGCGATCCACCGGGGTCCCCGAAGGGACCTGTGGAGGAGGTTGAGGTTTCTCTTCTGGATCCATGTCTGGATCCATCTCGGTTCCGCCGACAGAGGTCCTCCTTGTACTCTGCCGATCCGTGGATCTTGTTTCATTCAGCAGCGTCGTCGTCGATCCCGATCCCGAAGACGCTTGATCCCCTTGTTCCTTCTTCACTCGAACTTCTTGTTGGGACTCACGGTGAAATCCCGAGTCACCAGAAGATCCGGGCACGCGCACCATTGTGGTGTAGCGTGGATCTTGGATCTGCAATTGCAGGTAGTTCACTAGGAAGGTCTTGGATCTGGCCAATATATTACTCCAGTCTTACAACCAACACTAGATCTGCTACCGCTAACCTCTCTACGCTGTGTAGGGCCAATGTCGTTCCCGTTTCCAGGCGATGGAGGAAGCACTTGCGTTGTACAAGGCAAATTCTGGTCTTTGGGGGGGGGGGGAGATACCGCTTGTGGACGCTTGGTAGCTTAATCTGCGAGATTGCCAATCCAACTTCCCAACTGCGCCCGAACACCGACTTACGGAGGGGGTCCCCCGATGATCCGTGATCTGTGTCACCTTGTGTACCCGTCGGTAGGGCTGGATCTGCATTGGTGTCTTCCGAAGCGTCCGAGCCTTGAAGAGAGAACAGTCTGGGCGAGACGCGGGGATGTGGGTGGAGCAGCGTGGAAAACTTCACTCTGCTCGCAGTAGTATTCCAAATCCAGTGGTCTTGTACTTGGATCTGGCGGCCTGGATCTGGATCCGGCCGGGTTGTTGCCTTTCGAGGTTGTTGTCCTTTACGTTGCCTTCGCAGGTCTTCCTTAATCGTGTTTGCCGCCTCCATTGACGGTGTCGTTGACAGTTGAGACGAGAAGGACGCACCGGCCAAACAGATAACTCCTTGGACGTCGTGTGGGGCCAAATCCAATCTCCACAGCGCGAGTCGTGCGGGGCCAATATGTGCTTCCCCGTCGAGCCGTCCGGACCACTTGAGCTCTTCCAGGCAAATTCGGGTCTGATTTATGCTTAAGTTCGTTCCTATCCCAAAATCCTATCGCCATGTGGATCCTATCACCCCATCCGTACTTACCGACTCTATGGACCCTCTTTACCTTCATTGCGTGTCAGCTGCTTGCCCGTCGAGTCGTGTCCACCACTCCACGATTACGCTGGGATGTCGAATTGAACCCATCTTGGATCTGGATCACATGGGTACAGATCCAGATCCATCTGAGTCTGGATCCAGATCCATCTGAGTCCAGATCCGTCACCTGTCTCATCCACTGCCATAACTCTTTTCCGGGAATTGCGCTTCTCCACAAAGGTATCATATTCTATAGGGCACCACATCGCCCCGACGCAGTTGGCATGGCATAGTCATCACCCGTGACCATCTTCGCCATGCCCGCCGGGAACAGCTCCGAGTTATCGCAGGTGCAGGTCTCTCCCGCGAAGATACGGGAGACTAGCAACAACACGACCGCAATTCATCGTTTCCTGGCCGTCGTGACGCACACGGAGCTGTGAGCATCCGCATTCACCCACAATACCAGCTACAGCCACGAACAGCGACCTCATCACCAGCGTGCCATCGTCGGCGAACTGCTCTCACGCACCGAGGGCGATCGCCTACGCCAACACGAGCAAAACAAGCAGCTGCGGCATCTAGCTGCTCCATATCGTAGTAGTAGATACATCACCGGACATCAACACACTGACCCGCATGCTGTCCTGCCCTTCGTGGCGCACACAAAGCTTGGTGCCTCCACGTCTGCCCACAATACAGGCTACGGCCTCACCATCCAACCTCAACCTGTTCTCCACTGGCGTATCCTCGGCGGTGAACTGCTCTGACTGGCCAAGGGCAGCCAACGTCGCCAACACGAGCCCAAACACCCCGTCTAGCAGCTCCATAACATCGTAGCACATGCATCGTCATACATCAACGCAGCTACCTCGACCGCAATGCATGCTGGCTTGACCTTCTTGACGCACAGGGAGCTTCGGAACACCGGACACAGCTTAGTGTCGACCGGGACGGATCTTGCTGATGGGGTGACGCATTTAGCGTGCGGCAATCAATGCGTGGCGATCCGCCGATTACCGCGCGCCATAACTACGTCCCCGAGCTTGTATTGAATTCTGTATACTATATTTATTTCTTGATATCAGCAATGGTACAATGTTCCATTTCCTACAGCAAGCAGCGGTTACTGGCGCACTGCTTGCAACGCAATTGCGCTGCACAAGATTTATCGTCTAGAAGAAGGCCCGGGGTGTCCGCCTCCGGTGGTGTAAGCTGCCGTTGGGCAAGCGAGGGCTCGAGGAGCGACCGACGGTGGCGTGAGCTGCCGTTGATAGCTGGGCGAGCGACGGTTGAAGGAGCGGCCGTCGGTGGCACATGTGTTCCCGGCCGCCGTCGGCGAATCGTGAAAAACGATACGTTGAAGAAGAACAAATTGCGCGCACCGAGTGTGACCGTGATCAGTACTGTGGATAGATGTGGGGGCTTGAAGATCCCTATGCGTCACGAAGGCCAGCAGAGCGGGCGTTGCGGTCGCGTCAGGGCGGGCCTCAGCGTCCGGTGATTTACCTACTACTACGATATGGAGCTGTGAGATGCAGTCGCTGATGGTACGGCTCGTATTGGCGTCATCGGTCGCCCTGAGCAAGTGAAAAACGTCCACCCGAGACGGCCCGCAGTAGTGAACTGGTTGAGCGCTCAGGGTGTGACGGTGCTGGTGTTGGCGTCGGAAGCGGAGGCACAAAGGTCCGGGTGCGTTACCAAGGGCATCATAGCTGGCGGTGCGGTCCAGTTTGTGCGGCGGTGATCGGTGATGTATCTACTACTACGCTATGGAGTTGCGATATGCAGCTACTGCTGGTACGGCTGATATTTTCGTCGTCGGTCGCCTTCGGGGAGTGGGAGCAACTCACGATCGATGATACGCCGAAGAAGAACAAGTTGATAGCGCAGAGAGTGAGAGAGGGCAGTGTTGTAGGCGGGAGCGGAGGCACGAAGTTTTCTGTGCGTGAAGAAGGGCGTGACTGCATGTATTACGGTCGAGGAAGTGCCTGGGGGCTGGAGTCAATTTTGCTTCTGCAAGGTGCCACCGCTAGCTCGACGCTGGTGGGCTTTGAGTCGAAGTTGGAGCTTGCAACGGTGAGCTTGGCAGTAGCCAGCTTGAACACTAAAGATCGCGAGGCGATCCCATCGCTAAACGGAGTACAATTCATTTTTTTCATATGGATCATTGTTTTATCATACAGCTCTATAGGGAACCACACCGCTCCGACGTCATATCCCCAGTTTTCATGGCATAATCATCGCCCGAGACCGCTGACGCTGTCTTCGCTATGCCCGCCGTGAACAGTTTACACGACTCAAGTGTATTGTGTGGACCACATCATAACAATGATTTAGTTTCGCTGCCACTCATTTAGAAAGCGCCTCCGACTTCCGTCGATGCCTCCCCCGACCCCCCCCCCCCAGAACAAGCGCCCTAGGCAATGTCACACAAGGGCAAACGTGCATCGATGTAGCGCAGCCAGCCAGGCACTCATCGTTGCGTCATCTGCCTCTGCTGATCAGACGATGACGAAGACCACTGCGGCGAATCAACGCTTGATGCTCGCTGCTTTGGTGTCGGAGCAAGGTGCTGCTGCTGACATCACGGCCATTGTGCCAGCTCAGCTCGACAAGTCTCCAAAGAGGAAGACCAGTTTGTCTAAACGACGTATATCGCAAGTGCCTACATCGGAGGCGAATGGTGAAGAACGCGAGGCGTCCGCTGTTACGTTGGTCGTGGCGACTGCGCCCACCCAGAAGGCCAAGACCAAGCAACGCCCAACAAGTGCGGGACAATCGGCCGCCCTCGCGATTCAAACGACCACGTCAACAAGTGTGGCTGCTGCTGCAGCGACGGAGAACGGCGTGGCTGCATCGCTTGCTCCCGCGGACCAAACGGCCAAGTTAGAGCGGCGAGCAACACGTGTGGCTGAATCGCTGGCTCCAGTGGCCCAAAAGACCAAATCCAAGCGACGAACAACACGTGAAAATGCTACTGCTGTGACCGCCACGCCAAGGACCGAGAAAACAAAGATATTTGTCTGCCTCCCACGACCATGCGAAACCAGTCGAGGAAGAGCCGAAAGCCCTGGAACGGAACCCTCTAGACCGGCAGTAGCAAGATCCAACCTCCCGCGATCAGAGATCCAAGATCCACGCTGACGGATCCGAGCGAAGCCGCTGTACGCACTGCGGATCCAAGAAGCACTCGCATCTCGGCTGCTGGAAGCGGTTGACGTGTGAGAAGTGCGGCAAGAAGGGTCATCCAGGTGATCATTGCCTCTTCGTGTGCCGTGGGTGTGGTGAACTCCATGACGTGGGCCGGTGCCCGATGGAAGAGTTTTACAACCAGATCCGCCAGTGGTTCAATCCAGCCAAGCATGCGGGGATGCTGCC